CTGAGCAAGTTCAGTTTGTTCAGCCTGGAGAAGAAAAGGCTTTTGAGAGACCTTAGAGCAGCTTCCAGTGCCTAGAGAGGTCCTGCAAGAGAGCTGGAAAGGGACTCTTAATCAGGGAGTAGGGATAGATAAAATTGCTACACTCTCCTTTTTTTTCCCTTTTGCCAGTTGTAGCAGTTTGTGGCTCCACAGCCCGTCTTGCCCTGATTTTCTTTAGGGCACTTGAAGTATTTGGTGCATGTACCAGCCTAGGTATGCTGTATGTATGTGCATGTACCTGGCTCTAGGCAGGTTTAGGTTCTGGCCAGTCCATGCCAGGAACCAAATGGAATCTGAAAGTAACAACATGGTGGCTGGTGTTACCCCTTCTGTGGTTTCCTTGCCTTCACCAGCTCAGCAAATCTGGGTGTCCTGACAATGCCCTTGTTATGATGCACTCATATTTCCCCGTTATGATGCTCTTATTTTCTTACAACTTCCCCATCTGAGGCCCATCTATGTGATCCCACCATTGCTTCTGGGAGGCCTCAGAAGCCAGGTATGCTCTCCTTTCCCAGAGGACACAGAGAGACCCCCCAATCCATGTGGAGAGCTGGGAGTGGGTGCTGCCAGAGCAGCAGCTGGGATACTCCTGTGCACCCCTGCCCCACAAAAATGAAGCATCAGGTTCCCAGGGAGAAAGATGAGTGCAGAACATCCCCCCTGAGCACCTGCCAGAGTGGATTTTAGCTGGTGCCCCGTTGTGCAAGCAGAGGCCCCTGAACTGTGGAAGGTGCTCTGACCTCTCCCTTGTGGGACTCAGATTCAGTCAAAGAAAGAAACTGAGAGTTTCTAGCCAGGCAAAAAGCCTGGGAAAGAGCTGGAGAAGAATGTAAATAATTCTTTATCTCTCTTGTTTTTCACATTGTTTATAGTTAAGTTCTATAATTGTGCATCAAGCACTTTGCACCAATGGTATGGATTGTTTTCACTTCAGAACCAATGGAGTTGGTCTTCACAAATCTCTGTATAAAAGAGCGGAGTATTTTGAATAAATCAGAGTTTTACTCTCATGCAGCCTTCTGGTCAGTCTTCTCATTCCCGTCCTGCCTCGACAGCGACACTCCCTCGTCCAGTTCCTGGTTGTCATGGTTTGACGCTGGCACAATGCCAGCGCCCCATGAAAATACAACTTACCAATCAAATGCTGTGAAATGTGATCAAGAACAGAGCAAAGCAGGCCAAACTTAATAACAAAAGAAAAAAGCTTTATTACACTACTACTACTACTACTATAAAAGGAAAAGAAAGGAAAGAAAAAAACACACAAAATTCGAAATGAAAACCTTCCAAAACATTTCTCCTCCCTCCACCCAGCTCCACCAAACCCCAGCGAGACCCATTTGGATCCTTAATCAAGTTTTCACCCTTCAATATAATCAATACTGAGTCCATCGGGGAAGAGAGGAGTCCCCCTTGCAACCATAGACCCCCAGGAAACACAACTGCCACCTTTTGTGTTTCCAATGTCACACCTGGCACCGCCCAGACACACCGGCCAGTGTGACCCTCTTCTTTCCATGTCACAGTGCTCTCACCACCGGGCATGGACAGAGACTGCTTATAGGGCCCCTTTAAGGATGCTTTGCCAAGGACCACCAGGAACAACAGTCCAGTATCACAATTCGGGACTAGAGTCCCCCCCATTTTCCCCTGGGGCCGAGGGTCCAAAAGACAGAGATCGCCTTCTCTTCTTCCTGAAGATGGAGGGCATCCTCACACCCTCCTCAGCTCTCTCTCTGTCCACTCCAAAACTGGTAGTTGCTGCAGAAGGTCTCTTGGTTCACCAATGCATCCCCCTAAAATGCAGTCCCTCTTGGAAGAAAGAGTGGTTCAGTCTATGGTAAACAAGCAGAGTCCAGCCAAAAAGCCACTCTATCATCTGCCCCCAACCTTCTTCTCTAAACATCTGAGGTTTCAAGCTGTCTCTCTTTTCTTCAAATTCAGGAGGAGTAATATTTCATAAAGCCTTCATTTCTCAGGAAGGGTTAAAAGTCCCAACTCCCAAGGATGGCTCGCTGCCCAGGCTCCAGCTCCCACAGCCGACTGGGCACCTTGCGGCCCCCCCGCTCTTCTCCTTCCCGGCGGCGAACTGCCGATAAAACCACCGAGTCTCTTTTTTTCTCTCTTGGGAGAGAGAGAGACTCTGGGGGGGGAACGGAGACATCCCAGATTTCTCCACCCTTCCATCTGCAGGGGGCCAGGTCTGGTTGCCTCCCCTCCACCCTTGGGCCTACCTCCACAGGCCGCATGGCTCCCCTCCCCCACCCAGCCCGGGCTGGGCAGGGGAGAGGTCCGTCCCATGCGGTGACCGGAACCAAAGAAGGACGAGTCCTCCTGGGAATTCCGCTTTTAACCCCTCTGTGTTCTCAGAGGCGTGTCCACCTTCAATTGGTCACACCAAGTGTCAGTATCTAAACCTGACCCCTGACTGGTGAACCTCTTCCTTCTAAAAAAAAAAATTCTCTTCCCGTGTCAAACCATGACACTGGTATTAACCCCACTGGCACCCCAGCATGGTTCTGGGGGTGGCACTGGTGCTGTCTCCAGGCACTGCTCATGCTGTGCCAGTGAGCTGACAGCAAGGACATTGTGCCAGGAGGACAGGCTCAGTGTCCCCAAGAATGGATTGGTGAGTCCCCAGAGCTGACACTGCATGGCCCCCTGCTCTCTTTTCCCCTCCTGCAGTACCAGGCCAGCAAGCTGAGCCTGACAGGGACCAATGAAGAGGGATTCTACAACTTTTCCCGACAGCCAGCAGGAGCTGACACAGTTGGCACAGAAGGTGAGGTTAGGGGTCTCACGCCCCATTTCTGACAGTGCACAGGCCAGGGATGCTCTGGTAGCCAGCTGCAAACCACCCACCATACCCTCATTTACCCAAAAAGGCTCATTTCTGCAGAAATTAGGTATTTTGAGAGTGTACATGATGTTAGCAGTGGTTCCTGTGGCTAGTAGCTCTCACTAGCAGGGGTAAGGGGTAACCAGGCTCACTGGCAAGTGTGACACTGACACCAGTTGCCCCTGTGCCATCCCCTCAGGGGCTGAACCTGCCAGCTGGGGGATGCTGGAGTTTAGGATATTGTTTTGGTTGCTTTAGTTGTTTTGAGATTTTGGTAGGGGTTAACCGAAAGGCTAACTACCAACCAAAAAGGTTGGTGGTTCGTGCCCACCCAGGGATGCCAAAATTGTTAGGGTTTGTTTGTTGGGACTTTAAGAGTGTGAAAGTTTTTGAGACTGTGAGAGTTTTCATTCTTTAGTTCATGTAGCTGAAGAAGGAGTTTGGAATGTGTTTGATTGTTGTTTTAAGGTTATTTTTTTTTATTTAGAACTTTTTTTATTTGTTGAGTTTTGTTTAGAAAGGAAACTGTGGCTATTTGTTGTGAGTTTATAAAATATAAATAAAGTTATAAATAAAATAATTTATAAAGTAATAAAGCAATACAATAATTTATAAAGTTATAAATAAAATATAAACAACCTTAAAAACACAATTAAACACATTCCAAACTCCTTCTTTAGCTACATGAACTAAAGAACGAAAACTCTCACAATCTCAAAAACTTTCACACTATTAAAGTCCCAACAAACAAACCCTAACAGGGGGTACCTCAGACACACCACTGCAGCAAAATTCTTGCTTGAGAAAGGTAGGATATTACCAGTTCCTAAAGACCCCAACAGTGCACACTCAGAAAGCAAGCTATGAAACGTGCTACTTCCTCCTTCTTTTCCAGTGTCTAGCCTTGTTCTGGCTTTTCTCAGAATTCTGGTCAGTGAAGTACACATCCCAGCCTGGCTCTCAACCAACACATCATTGCAGCAGTAGCAGGGCTTGTGTTTGGGGGTTTGGGCTCTGGCCATTCCCACCACAGACTCAAATGGAATCTGAAAGTTGCAGATCTATCACAAGCACTTCCCCTTCTGTGGTTTCCTTGATCTCTCTAGCTCAGCAAAACTGGGAAATTCTGGCATAATTTCCTTGCCATGATGCACTCATTTTCTCTCCTTGAAACTCTGGGTGAACAGGAGGGAAGCAGCAGCAGGGAATGAGCCTTGTGTAGAGGAAAACCCTTTACCCACCCCAGTTCCAGCCCCGCTTGTGTTCCTTCAGCCCCTGCAGTACCATGAAGTTCACAGACACAAATTGTAGGATCATTTATGTTGGAAAATACCTTTAAGATCATCATGTCCAACTGTTAACCCAGCATTACAAAGTCCACCACCAAGCTATGTCACTAAACACCACATCTACATGTCTTTTAAATGTCTTTAGGGATGGTGACACCACCACTTCCCCAGGCAGCCTGTTCCACTGTTTGACAAACCTCCCAGAAAAGAACATTTCCATAACATGCCCAGGTTCAATGTGAAGCCATTTCATCTCGTCCTGTCACTTGTTAACGGGGAGAAGTGAGCCACCTCCACCTCACTACAGCCCTTTCAAAAAGTTGGAGTGCAGTTCTCTTCTAACATCAAACAAACCCATGGAAGAGGTTTTACAGCAACTTCTGTGAGCCAGACAGAAGTTCGACATGAGGATCCATGTTTACCCCCGAAAGAATTTTCTACCAAGGTCATTGACATAGAAACCAAGAAAGAAAGACGGATAAATAAGAGAAAACTGCAACTGGCTGCTCCAATAAGCACCTTGTTTGTCTTTGGTGACCAATGAGTAAAGTGTAAACTTATGAATTTTGTAAGAATGTATAAAAAGCATGCATGCTATAATAAAAACAGGTTTGAAGCCTTCTGAAAATGGAGTGTGTTGCTTTGTATTGTGACCATCTCAACTACGACACAAACTCAGCTCCTTCAGCTGCTCCTCATAAGATTTGTTCTCTCTTGAATCTGAAAATCACAGCCCTGTGGCTGGCACTTCCCTTTCTGCAGTTTGTATGCCTCATATACTTTTCCTGGTATGATACACTCATTTTCCTCTTGAAACCCTGTGCCCACCCCGTGGTGGGAGTATAAAAGGAGACCAGCAGGAGCAGGGGACCATGCAGAGGAGAGCCCTACAGACACCCCAGCTCCAGTCTCACTCGTGGCTCTCTCAGCCTTCCCAGCACCATGAGGGTCCTTGCAGCTGCCCTGGCTGTTCTGCTCCTTGTGGCCATCTGCTCCCTGGCTGAGGCTGATCTCAGAGTCTCCAGGAGTCCTGCACTTTCCAAGGATGGTAGGTTCTCCTTCCCCAGGAGAGAGCCCCATCCCCACTGTTAGACCCTCATGTCCATGGAGAAGGCTGGGAGCAGATGGTATCCCCAGCGCAGGGACTAAGCCTCAGAGATGGAGGTTTTCAGGGGCTGTTCCCAGAGGACACAGCACAGGTGATGGAAAACCCCCTGGGAGCCATAGGCAGAGCCTCTGCCGCAGTGTGGGGTCTCACTGGGCCCATCTCTCTTCCCTCACAGAAGACAAAACGATGTGCTGCTTCTCCTACATTTCGCGCCGCATTCCACGCAGCGTCATCAGCTCTGCCTACATCACCAGCAACACCTGCTCAATGCCAGCCGTGGTGTAAGTACCCAGCATGGCCAGGCTCCAGGCCAGCACCCCAAGGGTGTCCAAGGATGGGAAAGGGCATGGGCAGGGAAAACCAGGGTGCTACCAGCAGGACCTAGCAAAAGCACCCTGATGCCCTGGCTGAGTGCCTCAACACTGTTTTTCCCAACAGCTTGATCACCAGGCAGGGGAAGAAGATATGTGCAGACCCCAAGGCTGACTGGGTGCAGAAACATCTGAAGCACTTGGAGCGTCTGGAGCACTGACTCCTCCCTGCTGCTGCCCCAGGGCAGAGGGCTCAGCCCCCACCATGAGACTGCAATAAGAGTGCTTGAGCTGCATCCTTCTTTCAAAGGAAACATTTATTACAATTGGCATATACTTGTTTAACTAAATTTTGCTTGCATAAATGCTTGAATAAAATGTTTGGCTTGTCAAACCCTTTGGGTGTCTCTGAAATCCCTGCTGGAGCCCCAGCATGATAGATAGGACCCACAAGGAGTCTTTTGTTGTCCCCACTCCCTGGTTTCACTGCTACCCACTGTGCAGAGCAGCCCCATGACAGCCCCCATTCCCTCTCCCCAGCCTGGACTCAGCTCCTGCATCCCAGCATGACCCAGACATACCTGTGGGGTGACACTGGCAACTCATCCATTCCTTGGGGCCCTCTCCACACAGCACACGTGGAGCCCAGTAACAACCCCCCTGGGCCACGCAGCCCTGCTGAGAAACTGCAAACAAACTCTTTGACATATTTTCCCCAGAGACTAGAGGGTCTGGACAGTCTTTGACTACCTGATGCCCCACTGCTAGCCCCCGCCTACATTACAGCCCCCTGCAGTGGTGGGGCTGTGGTCCAGGTGCTCCTGGGTGCTGCTGTCCCCACATACACACTTGGTGCCACAGTGCTGCCAGAGGAGCAGGCAGGAGTGGGCAGTATTGTCCCCAGCACTGTCCTCTGTCCTCACACCACTGCCCAGCGCTGGGGACATGAGTGGGACATCTCTGCAGGTGACACCAGCTCTGCCCCTGGGCCACACTCTGCCCTGCAGCACTCCTGCTGGGGCCAGGACACACAGAACTCTACCAAAACTGGTCACTTGGGGTCACAGAGGTAAGGGCACTGGAAAATGACATCCAACAATAAGCAGCACCATTGGTTTGCCAACATAAGCAAACCAATGGTGCTGCAGCCCCTCTCTATTTCTAAAAATTTTAGTGTAGCTCAAAAACTCAGGCAAAAAAAAAAATGCATAAAGCTGTGCACAAGTACACTCAATACTAGAAGAAGATTGAGAATCTGTTGGAGTTTATAGAGCATAGAAGTTGAATTTATTTGCACAGAGCCTGAAAACTCAATCAGTATTTCAAATGACAGACAAGATAGAACCACCAAAATTACATACATATATACACTATAATACTGAGATTTAAAGAAGCTCTAAATCTTAAAATTGATGTGTAGAGCTGCACATTTGGGCAAGGCTGATGGACTTCTTTCTGCATCATCAGCTTGCTGTACTTCAAAGCTCTCTTCAACTGCTCTTCAATGCAATGTATAGTGCAATGCTTTTGGCCACTTCTGTAATTCAGTCTTACAGCAACAGCTTCTAGGTTATTCACACTGAAAATCTCTGACATAGGAAAAATGTGAGAGAAAACACAAAATTTTTACATTACTTACAAGGCAAAAAATTACAGTCCAGTAAAAATCCTCCCTGGCACCTTGTTTTCACAATCTCATTGTAGTTTAAGCAATCTATTGGTTCTTATAAACACACCAACACTGGATTAAATACTGTGCATTTTCACAGCATCGTGTAGGCTTTATTCTTAGTACAGCTTGACTTAATTCCTTCCCAAAACTGCCTGTTGACCACTCTTTGGCTGGCTCCTTCAGGAGAGCGCACTGAGACAGGAGGTTGGCACCATCAGGAGCGGCTCTCCTGCCCAAGAGAGGCACTCTGAGCACACAGCACCGAGCTCAGAGCCATTCCCACACCTCACCCCTGGAGAACAACCCAAGCTCCATGTCCCATGTCCATGCCCATCCCACCATCCATCCCTCTGTGCTGTCCCGGGTACCGGCGCTCTTCTCTGCCACAGCCAAGCAGCATGGGGAACCGCTTCCCCGTTCTTGCCTTCCATTCCCCGAGCTGCCTTTTTTTTTGAACTCTCGGACATTGTGTTAATACCCGAACACTTTGTTTTTTAAAGTAGTGGTGTTCGAACCCAGTGTCCCCTTGTTCTCGCACAGCTGACATCAACACCAAGTGCTGGGCGGGAAACTACTCACAAAACGTGCCATATGCAGCATATTTTGTGAAGCAAGCCCTGAGGACAATGCCACGGAAAGATCAGCTCAAACCTAACACCTCTCACGCCCCCCGGACCCCAAACCAGACTCGGGAATTTCGGCCCTCACCGCCTCCGCCCGTCCAGCACCGCCCGCCGCTCCCGCGCGGCATCTCGGGAGTTGTAGTTCCCCGCGCAGCGCGACATGGCGGCCGTGCGGGCGCTGCCGGCTCTCGCCGCCGCGCTGCTCCTGGCTGCCGCCGGCCAGGCCAGCAAGTACTCCCGGGAGGCCAACGAGGGGCTGGCGGCGGCCGACGGCAAGCGGCGGGAGGCCGGGGAGTTCCGCGTGGTGAGGCTGAACCAGATCTGGGAGAAGGCGCAGCGGGTGAGTGGGGCGGCGCGGGGCGATGGCGCTGCCGGGAGTGGGCTCCGAGGTCGGGCCCGGCCGCTTCAGACACTCATTCCCCGTCAGGGAGACGGGAGGAGCGGGCACCTGTGTGTGGGAGAGGCCGAGGCTGTCTGGCCCCGGCTCGGGGCTGCGGTGGCGTTTGTTCTGCTCTCGGGCATGGCTGTCCCGAGCAGCTGCGCTCAGCCCCGCGGCGGGGAGCGGCCTCCTCCCGCACGGGGACGGGTGTCGGAGCCCCGCGAGGTGCCGGCCTGCCCCTGTTTAAATGCAGCAGCTAAACCACATGTCCAGGAAGTAGGAAAGAGAGGGAAGCCCCGTGGTGGGGCTTCCAAACCAAACCTCCAGCCCTGTAGGTGCCGTGCAGGATCTGCACTTGGCTCCAGAGCCCGCTGGTTGATGCTTCAGCCGTGTTGTTCAGGGCTGGGATGCTCTCATCTGTCTGAAGGCCGTGGCCTCCGTTCCTGCCCTGCACAGGGCAGAAGTTCACTGCAGGAGAAGAGGAAACCTCCACCCTGGTGGTTGTGTCGCCTACATTCACACCAAGTGATGTAGACAAATGCAACAGCAGCAAATGGGTTTCACCGTTCCCAAATGAGACCCTTAATTCTGACAGTGAGTCAAAACAGTACTTGAGTTTCTCTCACAGTGGACTGCAAAAAATGTTTAATTAAAGTGAAAATACAGTCAAATTATTTCATTACAGTGGAAATATTTACTCAGAACAAAAAGGAACAGCTGCGGTGGGAGGAGAAGAATGCATTGCAGATACCTCCTGTGGACCATATCCCATTGTGGACCATGGGAATTAGGGTGATGACTGGTAAAGATTCAGTTCTTTCAGGCAATGAAATATAGTTAACATTAATTTTGGATCTTCTGTATTCTGAATAGCCTGAGCAATTGGATTCAACATAAGGCATCCTTGGATTCAGCAAAAAAATAGAATCCTGCCATAGTGCTGCCTCCCAATGTGCTAAAGGTAGATAGCAAAAATCCTTCTTTCCTTGATGGGTGACAGATGGAATGGGGCATAAGAAAGTGTGTTAATGAAACTCCAGCTGTTGAATTGAAAAAGAAACAACACTGAGACTAGAAATAATCTGTAATGATAGTAATGTCAGTTAGCTCTCACCTTTCCAGTTACAGCTTTTCTCATGTTCGTACCTGTCTCTTCTGGAATTAAAATTTGAGGTGCTTTACATCATCTCTGTTAAGATGCTGAAATATAAAATGGATTAACTCTGTCAGTAAGGAACTAAGGCTTGTAAATTCTATATGTGTGAGCTAGATTTTAGAGATGCAAAACCTACTTGAACTAAATTTGCCACCATCTAAATTTCACTTTTGAGTACAACTGTCACCCAGCATGTGTTTTATAAAGTGATTTTTCAGTATGTCTGGGCAATATATGAAATAAGAGGAAAACTAAGACTGTGTGTTACATTTGCTTTGAAATAACTTCTATGTGTCAATGCAAAACTCTTCATTCCTTTATTTTGGTAGTGATAGTGAAACTACTGAAAACAGGGAACTTCTTTTGACATAAAAGTCTGATACCACAGTTTAGCATTGCAACACACAGCTGGAGGAGCAGTCCTTAAAAAAGTCCCAAAATGTTACTTAGAGGGACCAGGAGCTGGCAGCTAGACTTTCCTTTTGTTTCCCTGAGGAGGGGTGGGAAGGAGTGCTTGATCTTTCTCCAGAATCTCTTTACACAAAGAATAAATTTGTAGTAAAGAGCTCTTTCCTCTTGGAGGCAAGAGGGTAGGTAAGGATGTCGCAGGTAATGATTGCAGCCAGCCAAACAGCAAATTATGCAATTGTTGTAATGTTCACAAATTTCCAGCATTCATTTCTGGAATGAGCACAGAACTGCCAGGTACCTGTCTTGGATGTTAATGTCCAGGCAGCATAAGGAATGAGGAATAAGGAATGAGTTTAAGGGGCTTGTTGCTTGGCTGTTTAATAATTAAACTTGACTTTTCACCTCTGGTTCTAGTTAGTTATTCCAGCATGTGAGTGATGTGAGTAAAGTGATGAGGAGTCATTTTTTACCTGGTGTACTCAGGGTCCAGCATGGAATAACCTTAAAGGAAGTAGTTCTTTAACTGAATACTTTAAATTAACTTATGTGTTCATTCTGTATTACATTAATGGGACAGGTGAGGGGCTTCCAAAAGGTTTTGAAGTATTTATAATGCTTACAAGGACAGTTACTTTATTTTCCTACTAAATTATAATGATAATTGGAAAAATATTGCTCTAATTGGGAGAAATTTGAATAGAATCTTGTTTTCTCTTAAGGAATAGTGGGCTTAATGTAGTTCCTTAGTATTTATTAAGACTTTAACATGTTTGATTGATGATGTCTCCAAACTTTTTGTTTAGAAGTTCTGATACTTTTTTCTATGACTTCTAGAAAACAAAAAGCTTTACATGTTTATGGGATTGCACTAACTGCAGAGGAGCTCTAACATAAACTGCACTGTGTAATCTTTTATACAGTAGTGTGTTTCTGATGACAAAGTCACATATAAAAGATTTTATTTTATATTTGCGGTACTTAGAAGCTAAATTACTTCTTATCTAATTATGCCTGGCTATTTATTCCTGTATTTCCTCAGCCCAACTACATGTGATGTCCATGCTACTTGAATGCAGACTAATACTAAAAGTACATAGCTACCAAAATGCTCGGCCCTTCCCTTCACAATTTGTACCAAACCTTTCACTCAGTCTTGAAGCTTCAGTGCACAATTCTTGCTGAGGAAAATGATACTTGATGCCACTGCAGCAGTGATGCTTGGGCTGTCCAGGTCATCCTGCACCAGAAAAGCAAACAAGTACATGATTAAGGTTTTTCTTTTACTCAGCACATACTAAGAACCATAAATAAAGTAGTTCCTTCTGAGTGCTTTGTTTCTATAAAGCAGTTCCCCAAAAGTAGATGGTAAAGGACACAACAGGGACACTCCTTTGCTTTGGTATTAGAGGGATCAAAAGTTTTAATGAGTTCTATAAGTACTATATTTCCTTGTGATTCTAACTACTCTAGATTTTAGAAATTTCAGTAAGCCAAGTGCAAAATGCAGAGAAAAAAATAGTTTATAAACAAAATAATTGTATGCAGTGGCACAATATTAATTAATAGGACAGCCTATGATGGAAACATAAACAATAATGTGGATAGTTTCCTGAATTCTTGTCAATAGGAAGTGCATTAGCTTAAAATAATTACTACTTTAAAATAGCCTACTGACACACAAAGAAACAGCTGAATCTTTTCAGTATCATTCAGATGCTTAAAAACAATACTGAGTTCTGAGTCTGTGTTTATTAAACATACTCCTTCCTCACTGAAAATGAGAATTTTTATAATATGTAAGCTGGTTTTAATGATTAAAAAATCCTCAGTAGATAAACTTGTGCTAGGACTGATGAGCCCAGGTGGTTTCAAGCTGGATCTGAGCTCCCAGGAGCTGGGCACACAGTAGTTGGAGGGATTTTATCTCCTTTCTTTTCTGGGCTTCTCCTCACCACACCATCTGTTTTTTGATCATGTAGACACAGGAAAAAAAAAAAAGTGGTTCTGAAGTATTAAGATGGTTTGTTACATTTCTTTGTTTTAAACCAAATAACTAAGGGGGCTAAAATCTGGAAGTTCAGGATCAACTACAGCAGTACTGCTTAGCCAACCACATATTAGTCATTGTTCCTGTTTTCTCTGTAGCTCACAAAGTTTCAAGCTGACCTAGCATTGTTTTAAACTAATTTTTTTTTCTATCCTTAGCCTCAATATATTACCTTTTTTTTTTCTAGTATGTCAGACAGGAGAACCTCTAGGTTCTGTATGTTTTAATGCACATGAACCATATTAAGAAATTATCTGAGAAATTTTTTTCATTTTGATCATAGTAAAAAATTGCTGCTGAAGTGGCTCTTTGAACTGCAAGGCCATCCTCAGTGACCTGGTAGACTGAAAAACTGTACTAACCAAAAATTTTTTCAACTCACTATAACTGTATGGTTAGAAGATGGTCCACAAGAAAGAGCATGTGGTGGCAATGGCACCTTGTTTAAGAATTGCTGTGCCATACTGGTTGTTATGTATCTGTACTGGTTCCTGAGGTAGCTCTGAAGCAAAAGGGGACTCCACATAACTAAATACAAACCTTTCTGTGTTCTTGTTAGCTCCATCTCTCTGCTGTGAAACTGGCAGAGTTGCATAGTGATCTAAAAATACAAGAAAAGGATGAACTGAGCTGGAAAAAACTGAAGGCTGAAGGGCTGGATGAAGATGGAGAGAAGGAAGCCAAGCTCAGACGCAACTTAAATGGTAAGGGCTGTCTTGGAAAGAAGGAGTTTAAACTTTGCATCACACACGTGCGTGGTTAGACACTTGTGTTTAAACTATTAAATAATAAGTTGTCTTTCTGGACACTGAGCACACGAGTTCTTTGCAGGTCAGTAGGGAACTGCAGGAGCCTAACAGTCCTTTGCTCTCAGTAATTTCAGAAGAGATCATTGAACCTGGGATCATTGTGTATTGAACTGTTAGCTTTCCTCCATGAGCTGCAAAGTCCAGCTCTGCATGTGACATGTAGCCCATCTCTCACCTTCCATACATCCATAGTTGGTTCTCATGTTTCTGTAACTTCTATTCTCTTGCAGTCATTATGACTAAATATGGAATGAATGGAAAGAAGGACTCTCAACTAGTTGATACCAACTATATTAAAGATGGCACAGAAAGTGACACACTAGATGATCCAAGACTGGAAAAATTATGGAGCAAGGTAAGATTTCCAGGAACTGGTGTGTAGGAAATCAATATTTCTTCATTGAACTCTTAGCTGTGTCTTCTGAGAGCACTCAGACTTGGAAATCAATAGCTTTACTACTCAAAAAAGTACTGATCAAGCTACCTTGCTCTGTAGCTCACATCTTTCTGCCCTGAGGAAAAATGTGAGCTTCTGCATCCAGACCATCCAGCTGTGGCAGGTTGTCTTTGGCAAATAAAACACCCACATTAATCTGATTGTGGAGGTGGAGCCTGGGTCCCCTGAGGTCAAACAGAGTATTTCCTCACATTTCCCTGAAATCATGGCTTCCCTTAGTGTGACTGTCACACTGTGTGGTAGTATATCCATGGAGTTTTTCAGTTTTCTTATTGATGTTTATGGATGTTTTTAAAAAGATGCATTTAAAATAGAACCGTTTTGTAAACTGTCTAAAAGTGAAATGTATTGTGGGGAAGGGTTTTAAATAAGGGCTTTCTCAACCTAGTAGTCAACTGAAAATTTCCAGGATTTGCATTAGTGCATAAAAAGTGGAAGATGTATTGTCAAATTTGGGCAGTTAAAACTGGCAACATCATAATCTTCAGAAATTAAATAATTTGAATTTTAAGAAGCGACTAGTCAGGTAAATCTGGAATCACAGGAATTCTCCTATGAGTCTAGTGCAGTGATAGTAAAGCAGAAAAAATATTTGCTGCATTTTAAAATGTTATTGTAACTAGATACAGCTTTGT